TCGAAACTTGAACGGCTACCATCAAGTTGGGTAAGGGTCGAAGGTTTTCTTCGTAGATTTACACGATTGGGTTCATTTTTTGGAGGTTTGGAGGTTGGATTTGGTGTCATGGAGAAAAGAGCTTTCAAAAGAGGTGGTGGCCAGAGTAGTGGTCGAACGAACGACGAGTGGTGACTTAATGAGATTTCGACATGAGAGATGGGAAAGTGAATTAGAGAGGATTTGGGATGGGGAGTTTGAGAAAAAATGTTGAAATGAGGAAAAATGGGAGTTTTGAGCATATTTATAAGAGGGTTTAGATGTAATTAGCTAATAGTTAAATTATTTTTGCAGTCCTCCAAGCTTCGAAGTGTAATTCAATTCGGTCACCTACTGTAAATCGATCACTGAACTTTGTTTTAATTCAATTTAGTCATTTTTACTATTTTCTATTTTATTTAAATTGGTACCCTAATTTGTTTTTTTATTTTGCAATGTTTAAATATCTTTTTATTATTTTATTTTATTTACTCTATTTCTTTTTTTCCTCTTAACGTGAATTTTATTTTTAGGAACCCTTTAAATTTCCATAAAATCGTCAAAGGTAAATAAATTTAGATCGATCTTAAATTTTATTTAAAATTACTAATTTTTATAATTAAGACGACCGAGTAATCATGTGGTACCGAAAGGATGACTCGGGGGTGCTCATCCTTCCCCGATTGTAATCGACTCCCAAATCCGATAATTTTTCTGGGTGGTGACTCTATCATGATTCCAAGTCGAAGCACGAACTTGGGACCACTTGAGTGGCCTTTGTGATAATTTTAAAGTAATATATATTCAAAGTTGAATTTAATTCAAATTGATATTGAGTACACATATTGAAAAAAACCTAGTTTTCTCTCATTGGTGTGCCACTCATCTATTTTCTTTTTCGTTTTTGTTGATCTGTGGCGGTATCAACTTTAGTGTTGGTTGCCGACCGCCGATAATCTTTATTGTTCTTTTCTTTTTTATATCATATCATATATTCTTTTCTTTTCTTTTTTTATTTTCAATAAGTATGCTTGTATGACACGATTTCATATGCCTTTATGGCATGTTTTCTTATGCTTTTTGGCATGTTTTTTTATTGTTTGGACGCTTTTTTCATTTATCTTTTTTCTAAGGGTTGATTTGATATCGCCACGACTGATCAAGATGGCGTTATCTGATATTTTGTTGATCTTCCCTACTTTGGACCCTTGGATTGGATTTGGATACCCGATTTGCGTTTGTGGATAGCTTTTTACGTCGCTCAAGTTTGATTTGTGGTTTATATATGGGTTTCAATAGTTTGATCCCCTTTTTGTGGTTTGTTTACCGATAAGATCAGATCTGTTTGTATTTATGTTTTGTTCGAGTTTATTGGTTAGATTTTTAATCTTTCCTTGTATGGTCCTTATGTAATTTTAAGTTGTTAGTTTATTTTCAATAATTATAAAAACTTTTCCTAATTATGTGCTTAATTTACGATTGTGATTGTAAATCTTTATTGTAATTTGAGATATTTCCTCTTTTGAATAAAATTAGTTGCTTCTTTCAAAAAAAATATATTCATAATTTTCTTAATCTATTAACAATACGTACACACGTTGCAGATGTCGCTGCTCAAACTTAAGACGTCTAAAGAGATTAACATTTACGGTGGTTTGGGCATGTCCTTAGGCGACAACCGTCGGATGCGGTCAGGAGGGTAGAGTCGATTACAGTCGACGGTGTCAGAAGGAGAGAACGACCAAGACGGAAGTGGGAAGACTGCTTGAGATCCGATTTGAAGGAATTAGCCCTTACTGAGGACATGACCTCTGATAGGAAAGTATGGAGACTTAAGACCAGGGTAGTTGAGTAGTGCGGTTCACAGCCATAGGGTGTAACATCTTTGTCTTCTTTTTAATGTCTTTGTAGTACTTTCCATGACTTCTACTTTATACATGTTTCTGTCATTGAAATGTATGAAGGCTTAGAACTAGGGTATCGGAGTAGTGTTGCCTTAGTTTAAGAATTAACTCATTTGAAGTTATTCCTTCTCGTAGCTTGCTATTATTGACTATTGTGTATCATTTCTATTCATGTTTCCTCTTTTTAAATTTAGCTGGGTCTTACATTTTCAGTCTATATGCAGAGATTTCTATGTAGGGAATTATTTGCAGGGAATTATTTACAGGGATTACTCCCAATTACAGACGCACATAGCAAGATTGCATATGAAAACTGTTTATCTATGTATTTATTTATTTATACACGCATTTGTATCTTATCTTTATTTTTAATTTTCTGACTGCCGGAGGTCTTCCACGGAAGCTGCTCTCAACCTGGCGTTGGGATCAGCCTACTACCCTACCTCCCCCTTACCCCATTGCATATGGGAATCAGAGTTTTGTTGTTGTTGTTGTTGTTAAGTGTCACAAATCTTCTCGATGCATATATCAAAGTATAATATATTTTAAAATAGATTTAAATTCATAGTTCTAAAGATGTTATAACAAATTATTATGTTAATCAAATTAAAATTTAACGATTTATTTTATATTTACATCTTATAACCATGTATATAGTAACTCACGGAGACCATTCATGTATTTGACTTGAGAAGAGACTTGATAAAATTAAGAAATTTTGGAGAAAAAAAACTTATGGTGAAAAGGATTAAATTCAATTATTAATTACCCTGAGAGATTAAAAAGTACTTAACATTTACTCGAGAGTTGATTGCATTAAATGTGCTCAAACTATGGTTCTTATTATAAATTAATCCTCAAGCTTTTAAACATTATAATTTCATCCCTAAATTATACTTCATATTCTGAATTAGTCCATAGAATTCTGAACATTCCAATTCCATCCCCAAACCATAACTAATTCTATATTGGTCCCCAAACTTTTGAATATTTTAATTTCAACCCCAAAATTTTAAGTGATTTAAGGGATGTTATTGGGATGTCCAAAAGTTTGAGGACTAATTTAAAATGAGGATCAAAGTTTGGGGATGAGTTTAGAATGTTCAAAATTTTAGGGACCAATGTAAATCAAGAGTCATGGTTTAGGGATGAAATCAGAGTATTGAAAAGTTTAAGGACCAATTTAAAAGAGGATTATAGTTTGAGGACGTATAATGCAATTAACCCTTTAATCAAAGGACTAAGAGGCTTCAAATAGAATTACTAAATTTTGGAAGAGGTTTAGTCGAAAAATAAAAGGAAAAATGTCGCATCGATTAAAATGTAATTTAATTTGAAACAAAACTACATTGGATTAACAACAGAACTGTATTGGACTAACAGATATTCATCTAATTAAAATCCAAACATACATTTAAAAGAACGAAAACTAGAGAGTTGATAATGGATCATTATGGGAAGGAGACAACGTGGGTACGTAAAACTGTTGATTGGGGGGTGTGAATTGTCACCCACCCCATGCATTATCATTATACATGGTTCGATTTCTTTGACAAACTAGCGCCGCTGATTATGACGTTTATGGTCATATTGATCAACATTTTTTATTTATTTATTTTTAGAATCAAGTATATGTCACATGATCAACTATTTATTTATTAGTAGGGGTATACTATGCGACGATATAGAAGAGCTAGTTATTACTTTCAATTGAATTAATGTCTAGAAACCTAAATTATTACGAGGGGTGTTTAGTACGATTGATGGAGTAAAGAAAATTTATGTATTTTGAAACGATATTACTATTACTAGAAGACAATATTTTGAGTTACAACTAGGAGGATATCCATAAAGTTTTTAACATTTTCTTTGATATGTCCAATCATACTGCGGTAAAAAAAATTATAGTTTGCTTTAATAGTAAAAGTAGCTTCAGTAATAAGATTGCTAAACTTCATAGTTCTTTGACTTTCTTCTTATATAACTAAATTGTGAAAGGAGGTAAAAGGATCCATTAGTAATTTGACTCCGTGGCAAGTGGCTGAATGACTATTGTATTTATCAGTGGCAAGTGGCTGAATGACTAGAAGCATATCGGGATTATCGAACTGATGAAGATAAGATGGCCTTCTCCCATGATCAAACTGATCATTTAAATGAGAATCCTTGTTGAGAAAGTTTTTCGACAAAAGAAATTTGTACTTCTAATACCATAATAAGGTTGATAGAGTAAAGAAAACTTATGTATTCAAAGGTCATTAGGGGTGTACTATTTTTTATAGGGCCCTAATTTGTCTATTATATTTTTTTTATTTTCTTTAATTTTATTTTTTTATCTTTATAATCGATCCTTACTTTGTATATTTATGATTGAGGCCTCTTATATTTTCAATATGTCTTTTTTACATTTACAATTGTTGATTCTGATTTTTTTAAATCTCACTTTTTACATTTATAATATAAACCCCTAATTTTTAATCTCGTCTTACCTTTATAATTGAGGCACCTAATCTTTTCAATCCCATTTTTTACTTATATAATTTATGGCCCTAATTTTTTTTAATTTCACTTTTTGCCTTTAAATTTTTTACTAGATAAATAGGGTTTTCGGTGGGGAATGGTCCTTTTCAAGATTTTATGGATTAAGTTTGGGCAAAAATAAGGCCCGGCAAAAGAACATGACATATGGCAAATAGCCATTGGCTGGAAATATTGTAATACAAAGAAAATTACAATTGCATAATCGAATAAATTCGTAGGATATTTTAGCCTGAGATATTCGAATTCGAATATATTCTATACTTTCAGATGGAAAATATTTCATTTTCGGTATTGCGCCCATTTTTATTAACTTGATCGAACTAGTTCCTTAATATGTTCATCTTTGTTTGTACAATTAAAAAAAAATCCATGTACATAATTGCGTCACTCAAGAAATTAAAAAGTTCATAGAGATCGATAAAAATTAGATGATAACAAAACAATTTACACTTAACAACTTCAATTCTATAAAATTTAAACTTGTTGTAAGTAAGTCAATATAATTGTTTTTTATTATTATATTTATGGCACGGACTATCCGAGACTAAGATGTAAATCAAGACCTAACCCATTATCAATCTTAGCCCCACCATCATCTTCTCTTAATCGCCTTCTCGGAAAACTCCGGTACGATGGACATCACCGGACAACGCAGCTGCCATGGTCTCCCTTCCTTCTCCTGTATATAAACGCGCTCCACTAAGGTACGTGCCACCATGCAACATATGCAACGGGGCACGTCCTCCTCCAGTTGGCATGTAAAAAGAAGAACGATACTTCGGCGGTGCCGGTAGCATCGCCGTGGGAAAGAGGTGCGGCGGACGCATAAAAGCCGATATCATGGAATTCCGCGTAGCATCTAGCATTTGAGCTTGCTTCAGTAACCGTCTTTCCTTCTTGTGAGCATTTTGGTGACCTCCTAGGGCTTGAGAGTTAGCAAACTCCCTGCAACAGTATTGACACTCGTATTTACGGGCATCCGGTTCGAGTTCTGGAAATCCGGGTGGAGGTTTGGTCGAATCGTCGGCGGTGCTTTCGACGATGTTGAAGCCAAAGAGCTTTAAGGGTTTTGGGTGGAAATCAATATCAGCCATAACCAAAAGTATAAGGCAATTTGTGGGGTAAAGCCGGTTTCATGAGCTAAAATTATATAAGAGAAGTTTACTTGAGAGGAACAGAAGACGGGCAAGAAATGGGGGGGAGTTGGTTGTGAAAATTATCCTCAAGAAATGGCAAAACCAAAGCAAGATCTTCCCATGAAAATTGCCCCCACAGCAAGAAAGCTAAGCTACTAAGGAATTATAATTGGAGCATGTTTGCTCATGAAAAATCATTTTCTTTTATTTTTTTAATTAAAATATTTTAGCTTTCTTTAAAAAAAACTAATTTTTTTAAACATTTTCTTTAATTATAGCTGAAACAATCATAACCTTAGCTAGTTATCGAATATTCTAACAAATAGAATATTCATAAAACACACACTCCAACGTTTTGACTTAATAATATTTCATACTTAATAATATTTCATACGTTGTACTCCTACCTAAACACAAAATAATATAATTTTTTAATCATATACTCTATTGAAAATTAAATAATATAAAAATTAATCTAAACAAATTTAATTTTAAATTTTACGATGATGTGGTAATATCTGATTCAATGGTAAACATATAAAATAATAATGGGTAAACTACAGAATTGGTCACTTTCGTTTGAGTTTTATAATTTTCTTCCTAATTGAATTTTAAAAAAATAATAATATTTGATCACTTTCGTTTCGTTTTAATTAAGATGTGGTCATTGAAGGCTGACAATCGTTAAACCTTTAACAGTTTGCAGACGTGGCATGGTAAATATATAAAATTAAAATTACATAGTTTCCACGTAGATAATATATGGATTAGGTTTTGGTCACTTTCCTTTCATATTTGTACATTTTTTCTCAACAAATTCAAAAGCATAAGTTTTGGTCACTTATGTTATTGTTTTATTAAGTTTTGGTCATTTAGAGGTTGAATGTTGTTAATTTGATGACGTGACCCGTTAGTAAAATGATTTAATTTTTATTTAACCCTAAACTTTAGACAAAATAATGTGAAAGTAGGCCTCCGAATACCTCATTTCGGCGGCGACCCTATCAAACAACTCATCGTCGAACAAAGCTCTAGTACTAAAGGTGCGTTTGGTTCACGAAATGTAAGATTACCTTTGGAAATAAGATTATCAGAATGTAGCATTACTTTGGGAATGTTGTATTATCCTGTTTGGTTTGCTTAGCAGGAATGTAAGGTTACAATGTTTGTTTGGAAGAATATAAGATTACTTGGATGTATATTTTACTAAATTATTCTTGTGATATATATTATTTTAACAAGTAAAACTTTAATATTATAAATATTTGAACGGAAATATATAAAAATATTTTAATAATTATGCCATCTAAGTTTAAAAAATACATTTAACATATAATTAATATAATATATCAAACTTATAATTTTAAATAATTTTCATAAGTATCATATATATTTATATACAATATAAAATAATATGAAAAATAATATTGTGATTTTGAATGGACAAATATTATTTTTAATGTATAAGATATATTTTTAAAAACTTAAAATTAAATCTTGTTTTAAAATTACATTTTTTACAATAATATTATTTTCAGCTCATAAAATTATAAAATAATTAATATATTAAATATTAAAAATATAAAATAATTTTAACTACTCAAATTTATCAGTATTTTACTAAATTAAACTCTTTGTATATTATTATTAAACTTATAATTTTGAGTAAAACACGAAGAATAAGAATTAAGAATGATCTATATGAAAAAAAAATTCAGGGGTATTTGTGTCCAATGTGGTGGGAATTGTTCATTACCTAAGAATTTGGGGTAATGACATTCTCATCATTTTAAACCAAAATGCTACTATTGGTAATAAGTTATTACCTAGTAATGATCTTTTCCGTTAACCAAACACCCCTAAGTGAACGTCGGTTTAATCTTCATAAACGTTGTGGAAGTCGATCACATTCGGATGCGATGAAGCGTTCTCGATGATCTTTCGCATCACAGGGATTTTGTTGGTCAACAATGTGTCAGAGATGGAAACCTAGTATTGTTTTGCTAATAACGCCGTCATTGAAGAAGCTCTAGTTTTCTCGGCTTGAGGCTATGGCGTCGCCATAATTAGTATTTTGTCTAAAGTTTAGGAGTTAAAATAAAAATTAAATCATTTTACTAATGGCTCACGTTATCAAACTAATGATATTTAACATCCAAGTGACCAAAACTTAATAAAACGATAACATAAGTGACCAAAACTTAATAAAACTATAACGTAAGTGACCAAAACTTATTTTTTTTAATTTGGTGAGAAAAAGTGTATAAATATGAAAGGAAAATGACAAAAACTTAATGCACATATTATCTACGTGGGAATGATGTAATTTTAATTTTATATATTTTTCATGCCACGTAAGCAAACCACTAAATGTTTAATGAGAGTTAACATTCAGTGACCACATCTTAATTGAAACAAAACAAAAGTGACCATTTTTTTTGAATTCAGTGAGGAGAAGTTTATAAAACTCAAAAGAAAATGACCAATTTTATAGTTTACCCAATAATAACTCTATAAAATATATGTGAATATTTATCTCATATATAAATGCTAGATTAATACACTACCAACAATATTAGATTTCTTAAATAAAGTTAGAGACTCAAATTGAGAAAATTATTCTCATAATAAATTTATACAATATTTGATTTAGATTAGCCTATCGATAAATCAGATAATGATTATTAAATTAAAAAAATATTAAATCAGTTCACTTTGATTTTTTTTTTGAAAAATTATGATGAAAAGTTTCTCCTATTTTCAAAGATCCTTTTTTTAATAAAAAAAATCATTAATAAAACAAGAATTTCGTTTTATGATTTAATCAGAAAAAATATTATTTTAGAAAAAAAAAAGTTAGAATAATATTATTTTTTATCTTAGTAAAGTTAAATTACTATCATATAGTGTTTGTTTAAAACAATGCCACCTTCCTCTATTTGGATAATCTGCATTTTTGTAATTAACATTTTGCCGTTGCACTTTCATGTGTAAGAATAGCACAATTCTTTTTCTTTTTCTTTTTACTTTAAAATAGTACAATTCTTTCGATTTGGTGGATGTTTCATGCGATGATGCCCCAAAGCATAGTCCAAAGACTCCACTTTATTAAGAAATGGATTAAAAGTCACATCCATATCTAACTGTCATCAACAAACAAAATTTACTTCTATTTCTACATCAACTCCACTAACTTCTCCTTTAACATTTATCAACTTCGAGTAAATTAAATTTAGTTCGATTAATATGTCGAATTGTTCAAAAATTGATGAACTCCATTTGATACTCGAATTCAAACTCATTATCAATCACTTAAAATATTATAATTTCATCTAAATTTAAATTAATTAAATTATCAATAAATATTTGTTGCTAAAACATTTTTCATTAAAAATACCCACAATTTAAACATTACCCAAAATTAATTTTTTCAAGAAAAAGTACCACCCATAATTAAATTCCAACAATTGAACCAAAATTATAGTGTATGACATTGTTGAGGTGGCAATTAGAAAGGGCTCTAAAATTCTAAATTATGAAATCTCGTGGTTTTGGAGACTGCTTTTATTGTAATTTATAAACTATATTATTATTTATAAAAGTACGTAAATATTTATGTGAGATAATTTCATATATTTATACAAATAAATAAGATAAATCCATGTACCGAACGGATCACAAATTAGTAATTTATAAAGCGTTACATTTTTTTTATCCAAACATTATCCAACCGATAATTCAACTGATTAAATCGAAAATGGATGGTATCGGTCTACCTTTTACCAACAGAAGTTTGTTCCACAAGGCGAGTGACGTCACAGTCAAGCTTGTACACCACATCCACATACCTCAGGCATCCGTAGATTTGTAGTGATCATCAGTGGTCCTGTAAACGAGTCCCTCCGATAAAAGTAAGTCCAAGCTTTTCTTGCCGAACCCCAAAAAAGAAAACAGACCATGCTTTGCTTACTGCATACGGTTACGGTCGAAGTAGTGTTTGCATTAGTGAGAGAGACGGACCCGATTTTATCGTACACACATTTAGCTCTCGAGCCACGATGTCGGAGCTTACCCCGGTCTCGGATGCACTGAAAACATGACTGCAACTTAACAATGCTTGTCCAACACACAGACCATAACAAAACCAAATATCACCATGATCGGTAAGGATACTTGCACTTTCATCTTTGGCACGTTTTCTTAACATCCATCATCGAACTTGTCAGCGACAATTCTAGAAGATCACTTATTGTTCAAAACTTGATTTTAGGGACCAAAATTTGCTGGTTATATATATAAAGCAAAGAAATAGAAATAAATCTATTTAATGCGAATACGTTTCAATAACCAACCGAATAGTGTTAACAATCAGTTTTCAAAGCCATCGAAATCTTCGTCTGCGTTCCTCCCCCCCTCCATTGCAGTTGAGCTTAACGTTTGTCTCTTTCACTTCACTCAATAGCAGGAAATAATATTTTTAATAAAAAAAAAAAAGTAGTTACGAATTTTGTAGAGAAAAATTGTGGTGGTTAAAATATACAGCAGGTACTTCCGTTTGGTTGCCGAGAAAATCATGGAAAAGGATATGCATACGAAAATGAGAGGAAGAAAAAAATATATATAATGGGAAATTTTGAGTTTAGTCCCTAGTAAAATTAGGATTCAAGTAAAACGGCGTCATTTTAGTTCTTTTGAGCACTAAAACAGAAACGTCAAAACGACGTCGTTTAGATGAGACTTCTACGTCAGCGATGTCACGGCATGTTGTCTCTTTAAACTATTAACGGCAGAGAGATATAATTGTAGTTAAACATAAACGTTAATGTTAAAATTGATAAAATTAAAACGTTGATGATATAAACAAGCCAATGCTTAAAGTTTGGTGATATTTGAAGTAGTTAACTCTTAAAGAAATAAAATAATCATCGAATACTCAACGATTAAAGGTTATTACGTTTCTTCGATACAAGGTTAGACCTTTGAAAAAGAAAAGAAAAAAATGTTAATCTTTATAGAGATAATCATAAGTAAAACCTCTT